AGCTCAAGATCAGAATGAGGTTTCTTACAGTTACTCTAATTTCCAGATGGAATTGTAAAGCATCCCTCAAAATGTTCATTCTTTCCCTTCTGTAGTAGTTTATCTCTAACTTTGGTTCTCTGTCACCCCCAAGTGGTCAAACGAAAGCCAGCCATTAAACTACAGAAGCTCTTGCTGGATTAAGAGCTGGATGGTGGTGACAGTTGCTGAATGTACTTAGTGAGAAAGAGACCTAGACTAAAAATGGCCTGTTTCACACTGTATGTTTTGCTAGGTTTTTAAGAAGGCAAAGACACAGCAGGGGTTGGGGTAGCCTCGGCATGCGGTAGCTCAGTGCCTTTGGAAACTGTCTACACTGACACCTTCACTTAGGGATAAGCCTGAAGGGCTCTCACCTTCCATTTCTTGAGGTCAGCAATCTCTCGGGAGCGTATGCTGTTGTAGGTGCTGATGGCGTTCCACAGGATGGGCCGGTCCTCACTGGAGGGGGCCATCAAGTGGAAACTGTCCAGCAGCTGCTCCTCTGTCATCTCCGGGCTCTCAGGAACCGCATCCTCAGAACCCACGGCAGCCTTTGCCCCTGAGAAACAAGCACCACAGACCCATGATTCCCCTGCAAGCATCACTCCCACGCTCAGCCACACACATACCCCCACACACTTAAAACCAATCTAGAATGCTCAGGTGAGATCAGATTTCTTTTTCACCAATGGCTTTGGAAACAATTATGACCAAATAGCAATACTAATCCTTTTCTGGGAAAATAGTATATTTCAGGGTGAGGAACAGAAGCCCTGTGGCAGAGAGCATATCGTACACACTTGGGGGCGAGGCAGGGTTATAACCCTGAAGAAGCCAAGAACTAGGGTCAATGCCTGAACCGACTAGGGATGAGACTTGGCCCCTCAGCTCTCCTCTCCATCCACAATAAGAGTCTGGTAAGACCCCAGGTTAGGAGAAGCAAGATCTAGAATGCACCCTTCCTCACCCACGCCACCATCCTTCTCTCTTCTGGGAGCCCTGCTTTCCCACACACTAAGGGAGAACCAATGGAGAGAGAGACCCCACCAGACTCAGGGAAGTGTGTTTCTGAGGACCATCGGGATAGCTCTAATTTCATTCACTCCAAAGGGTCACACGCTGGCAGAATAGGGAACCACGAGGCTCCTCCACACCCACACAGGACGTGCATGCAGCCCAGATGGGGAGATAGGGGCTGGAGCAGAGGAAGAGGCATTTCCCAAGCTTCCTACTACAAACAAACCAGCGCCTAAATTCAGGAAAGAGCCTGATTGTCAGACTCCTAGCAGGCAACATACACATCAAACACTGTTTGTCTATAGCAATGAATGGAAGTGGAGGTTCGGGCCTAAATTTTCACATTATGTTCTGTAAACATCTGGGAAACACATACTGTGTGACAGGATATATGCTACAAAGGACATTGCAAACCTCCCGGGGGCAGCCCGGGGGCTCCCATCCTAAACCTTCCTGGACCCTCGATCCACTGGAACTGCCAAGGGCAGGACCCGCGGGAGGAGGCATGAGGTGCGTGGGCCACCACCCCACCCACCGCAGCTCGCTCCACTCCCACGGAGAGACCGGGCGGGCGGGATCAGTACTACTCACTAGTCTGTGACCTTTCTTCACTATGCTACACTAAGCACTGAGCGCTTGGACCCTGTCTCCGTCCCCGTCCCTCTTCTGGGATATTTCCTCTAAGACCATGCAATGATGGGCCTCACTGAGTGACTTATTTGCCTGTCACAGCTGAAAACTCTTAGTGGGCCCGGTGGGTCTTTGTCCCACCTGGGCCAGGCCTCTGCTGGCCTAGGTAGCGCATGTGCCCCAGCCAAGAGACCTAGAGGCAGAAAGGGGTTGCCGTACCTTCGCGCTCAGAGCTGGACAAGGTGCTCGTGGTGGAGGCGGCAGGTTCTGGTACACAGGCTCCCTGGCCTCGGGTGAGGGCATGCAAGGGTCGAGGCTCCCCTGGCAGCGCACGGCAGCTGAGTCCCTGGGCGCAGCGTGCAGTGGCCACGCCGCAGGCAGCACCCAGTGGTAAGGCACATGTCGGGCAGCAGCCACAGCCTGCAGGCCGGGAAATCTCGGGGCACGAAGCAGGCACGGGTGAACAGAGCCCCAGCCTCTCGGCAGTGCAGGGCGCACAGCGCCATGGCTGGGGGCCTCCAGTAGCCACGCCAACCTGGAAGGCTAGGAGGATCAGGAACCGCCAAGAAACAACAGTTAGGAACTCAGGCATCGCAACCCGGGGCGGCAGGCGGTGGATGAGACTCCCTGGGCAGGCGGCAGTGGCGCAGCGGTCACAACTCTCTGGGTAGATGGTAAGTGGCAACAGTCTTCACAGCTCTCTGAGCAGATGGCCGTGTGCGGTGTTCAATGCTCGCTGGGCGTGTGGTGGCGGGCAGTGGACGTTGCTGGCTAGTCGGACCCAGAGCCTTATGAAGGACTGGCTCAGAGGCATAGGTTAATGATTGTCAAGGCAGCGTGCTAGGATCCCAGTGTTCAAAATAACTTTGTTTTGCTTGTGAGCTCTGCACAAACCGTGGGTGGAAAGGGGGGTAAAGGGATCAGGTTTCCTACTATGTTTGTCCTGTTGTGATGGACTGGGACAGGGGCTAAAGTCCAATTCTAACAGCAAGCTGGTAGCCAGGTGGGGGAGGGCACTTGTTTTTGTTCAGGGGACATCAAAGACCTAGCCGATGAGGCTCTTCAACTGGACTCAAGGAAAGCCTCAGAGACTAAGAAGGAGAAAGGACAGATTAGGCCAAGAATGCTCCAGGCCCCAAAGGGAGGGGCAGAAGTGAGGTTCTCTGTGACAGCACCCATAGTTGTTTCTCCCTCCTCCCCAAGAAGCCCCTAGCCAGCAAGGAAAGGACTCTATCAAGACTGCAATCCCAAAAACAATGGTACCTCCAAAGAGGAGAAAGGCCCAGGGCCTCAGTGACCTGTTCTGTGTGGCCATGGAGTCCGACCCAAGCTTTTTCTGAGACACTCATCCCTGATCAAGTATCACAGCTTTCTCTGCACTATTTTTCACTCTTTTATATCACGAGAAAAACTTCAGAAACCTTTAAGGACAATCAGAAATGGGACTCACCCTGGAATCTCCCCCAAACCACCCAGTACGGAACTGATCAGGGACCACCCCCTTTGCCCCTGAGTGTCTTCTGTGACCCCCCAAGGTCTAGATTTTGTCTCCCACCCACCTTCACCTCTACCTCCTGACCCAGGCGCTAGCTCAGAGCAAAACAACCAACAACAGCCAAGCAACAGCTTGGGCCCTCTTGTTTTGCCCTTCGTGGTATTGTTTGGGAGTGAGGTACAAACTGTTCTGAATCACTGTGGCACATGCCTGTCCAGCCCCTCAATGTCTTGGCCATCTCAACTTTAGCCCCTGGCTCTAGAAGAGGACATTCAAGTCAAAGGTTGCAGGAAATTTCAGGTCAAGGGCACAGAGACTGGCCTGCAACGTCCTGGATGAAACCTGACATTCCTGTTACCTGGCGGTTCGTTACTGCTCCCTGTGTGTGAGCCTTGGGGAAATGGCTTTCTGGGTGACCGCACTAAGGCATACCAAACACATGTGCAGTATGTGTCACCTACCAACAGCTGCTCTCACATCCGAAGAAGCCAGTGCAGGTGCCCGCTCAAGAGCAGGTATGTCAATGGTGACTGACTCAATTTTTAATTTCAGGTACAGAAAAAGCCCCAACAGATAAGAAATACGTTGCCAAGGACCAGAGATAAGAGATTCTGTCCAGTAGGCCACAGTGAGCAGCAGAACACTTGCCAGGAGAGGACTCATGGGTGGGAGTTGTGGAATGCGGGGGGTGGGGAGGGGAAGGGGAGTTATATAACGGAAGTTTGGTTTCTTTGTAAACTCAGTTATGTTATATGAATATGTTTTTGTTTTTAATCCCAAGTGTGGGATTTTAGTTGGGCTATAGGTTGGCCACAGCTGTTAATTGTCTCAAGCAGAGCGTGGCTTTTGCCCTCCACATGCGGCACGGAGACGGGTGTGGGCTAGGACTCAGAGGATATAAATTGAGATCCCAGAAAGAGAGGTGTGGCGTGGAGTTCGGTGTTGGTGTATGGTGTGTAGCAGTTTGGAGAGACCCGAGAGACAGACGGTGTGGCAGTTTGGAGCAGACAGACAGTGAGAAACGGTTCGGGCCACAGCTGCGTGAGGAGACGGCTGGCTACATCTGCTACTGATGGAGACAAGTATAGCCCTAAAAGAACCCATTGACCTTAAAGAGCCAGGAAAGGTAAAGGGGCCCTCTCTCCCCACTAACCTTCTCTCTCTTACATAGGGTTGGGAGGTTGGAAGGGAGGTTGAGGCCTCAACAGCCCTATCAAAATAGAGTTTTAAAAACAAGTGCTACAGGTTCGTGTCAGATAAGGGGCTGAGGGAGAGTCCCCCAGAGGGATAACAGATTCAGAAACTCAGCTCCATCACAAAGCAGCAGGCAGCAGGTACACACTGACCATTCCCATCCAACCAAGGAAGCACCCCTCTTGTCACCAGAGAGGGACAGGGGGATTGAACCTGTTCTGCTTCTGCTGCTGCCACTGCCCATCCCGCGGCCGTCACTGAAGGGGCTGGGTATGAAGAGAAAGGGATTTTGAAGTCCAGGAGCCAGGGGTCTGTGCAAGCCCGTGGCTATGGATGATGAGTGTGAGAGCTCACTCCAAAGTTGTCCCCAACACAGCCTGAATGTCCACAGGCAGACCCAGGATAAGGAAGTCCTGGGGCAGTCACTGAAAAGCTCAGCCCTTGATGAGCCATGTGGAGAAGTTCTGTATTTCCTAGTAAAAAAAAACCTTTACAGTAAGGCATTCTTTAATTAAGTAGTACCTCCTCCATGCTAAAAAAAAAAAAAAAAAATTGTTGAGAGGGGAAGATAGGTGCTGCAGGAGAGCAGCTGTGATTCTAAATGTATTGAGCATCTTCAGAAGAATGCGAAACAAGGGACAGGATGACTACCACAGAAGGGTATGATTTAGGAGCCCGAGGACAGGTGGGTTTTTCTATGCCCTTCCTCCGACTTCTGGATCCACCCCAGGTGCTTATGTTACATAAAGACTAATCACACTGGATTTAAGTAAGAGATGGAGGGCTCACCTGGCATGCACAAGGCTTTGGGTTCCATACTGAGAAAAAGAATATGGAATTACTCTGATACCCCTTCCTCCCCAACTTCCTGGCCTCATAAAAGTGACTAGACTTTGCAAATCTGGATTTTGTTCAACTTGGACAGTTAAAAAAAAAAAAAAAAGGCAGTTGGGCCAGCATCTGCGAGGGCAACTGGAGTAAGGTCAGGTAACAATACTGCTCCCGGACACTCATGAGCTCATGAGTGCGTCTCTCATTATTTCTGCTTATTAATTTATTTGTAACAGAGTCTCACCAAACAATCTGGACCAGACTCAAACACATAGCAATCCTCCTGCCTCAGCTTCTTGGATGCCAGTATCACAACAATGTGCTACCATGCCCAGCTACCATGCCCACTTTTTTTTCTGACAAAGATGTCCCAAATTCAGTACCTCGTGAAGGACCTGATCAAGTGATTTCCGTTTTTAAACATTGTTATTTTAAATAAACATTCAGATTTGTAAAGAGTTTATTTTTGATCATGGGGGGGGGAGGGGTTTGTGCACATGTGAGTGCAGGGGCACTTGGAGACCAGAAGAGGGTCTCTGAGCTCCCTGGATTTGGAGTTACAGGTAGTTATGAACTACCCAATGACAAGAGTGCCAGGAACTGAATCTAGGTCCTCCTCAAGAACAGTACCCCACCTCTCCAGTCCCTAACACTCAACTGTAAGTTATTTTAAATGAATAGCTTGAATGTAAGCCCCAAATAGTTTCATTTCTGGACGTGGAATTTGCGCTCTGAGGTTTCACTTTGGCTTCCTCGATTTATGTTCACTGTCCGCATTTGAAATGTTTCCTTAATGAAACACAGGAAAGGCAAAACAGACAAATATTTGGGACTCTGTGCCAGGCAGTGCCCAGGGCCCCAGTAGTTTGCTCCGCTGCGCATTGCCCAGCACTCAGCCAGTTGTCCTTCCACCGGGTCCTCCTGCTCCTACGCACAGTGGCTCTTCCTTCTTTCCAAAGATTGATTTCCCAATGTTTCCATTGCTTACCTCACAGCCACACAAACCAAACAGCCACCAGACTCCACTTTGATTCCCAACATTGTCAACACAAATGAAGCCAGCCCCCACACACCCCACTCCAGGCCCATGTAGGCAGCCAGTTCATTGGCCTGTCCTGTGTGGAGTGGGGTGACTGGCCCTTCTCCTGAGTCACAGCCTGACTCAGCCACCTGCCTTTGCCTAGCTCTAATCCTGAACCTTAGAAGCCCACTCGTTTTCCAATGAGATGCCCTTCTCACTTTTTCACTTGCAAACAACTCAGTTTCACTTCCACACTCCAGCTTTGCATTTTCACACTGGAATTTCCATTGTCCCTGTAATTTTCTATCTCTGTCCACAGTGTTCAGTATACCCTAGAAGCCATCCTTCAAGATTCCTGTGGCTTCCCTCGTGTGGCAGATGACCCTTCCTCCCAGCTTCTTAATGGTTTATTCCCCGGGGCTTCTGTCTGCATGCCTTGCCTCACGCCACAGTGGAACAGAGAGGAGCGTTCTTCTAAGTGAGGAAGACAGAGTCAGGCATAGAGAAAAAGGGGTAATGGGATGCCCCAGACAGTCCCAGTCACATGCTCACAGCTCAGCAAGCAGGTTAGTCTAAGGAGGGCCCATAAGCCCATCCAGTGCTGCCTGTGGCAGGAAGGAAGAGAGTATCAAGACTGTCTGAGCACCTCTAGGAAAAGCTGGAGGGAAAGTGAGATCCTCCAAGCAGCAAAGGTTGCCGTGATGTGACCAAGCACAGAGAGCAGAAAGCAAGAGAACCCACCAAGCTCATTGTGCCCTGAGAATGGCCAGCAATTCTCTCTGCCTGGAAGCAGAGAATACTCAGGGGTCTAAATGTGCTGATGAGGAAAGCCTTAATAATGATTGAACTACTACAAGTTGGAGTAATCACCAGGAATGGACATAAGTGTCCTATAAGCAACTGTACATCCCAGGAGCTAAGATTCTTGAAGGCCAGGCAGGGAGCAACCAGGACTAGCAGGGGGACAGGAAAATAATGCTTCGGGTTTTTGTTTTTGTTGTTTTCATTATTTTGTTTTATCGGAACAGGGTCACTCATTGTCAAGGCTACCACTGAACTTACTATACAGCGAGTGCTAGCCTCAAGCTCCTGATCTTCCCGCCTTCACCTCCCAAGTACTGTGATTACAGGCATGTGCCACCCTGCTGCCCAGTGTCTTGTAGGTGCTTTTTACACACAGCTGGCGCCAAAAGGGGATGTCTGGCATGGAGGGTGCCACTCCTGCTTTATCCAAATCAAAGCCTGTGTATTTCCTGTACACATGGGAGGCACTCCCTCCCGCTCCATTGCAAACTCTCTGTTACAGAAGAAAAGTTGACAGAGCCCTTCTCTTGGCAATCCCAGCCTGCACTCCAGGGGGAGCTGTGTGAAAGGCCACACTGAGCAGCTCAACCAGTGATGCTTCCTCACACCTCTGCCTTTTTGTTTTGACAACTTCTACAACAGTGTTGAGTCTCACAAGCGAAGAAGCCGTCTCTGACAGTTTTATTAGCACCAGAAGAAGAGGGGGTCATGTGGGAGCAGAAGTCTGCATTTTCACCTCGGATTTCCTCACACACACACAAAACACACCCCACCCGCACCCCCACCCCCATCCTCCCACCCCCATGCATCGCATAGCCAAGGCTGTAAAGAGATGAACTGCTGCTTGGCAAAGTGGCTGCTAAATAAATGTGAGTGGATAGCACCTCGGGCTGCCTGCAGGCTCCCCCAGCTGCCAGGGACAGAAGCCGAGGGGCCTGAGGATGATGAAAGCACAGAAGGCCTTCCATCACACGCTGTTCCCTTCATGCAGGGTGCTGCTTACCCACAGGCAGCTACAAAGTTAGGCAATCTGGGCTCCAGAAAAAAAAAAAATGGTACAAGAGTCAAGGGCAAAGGGAACCTTTCAAAGGTGAAAAGTGCCGCAATCCAGGGGAAACCTCAGAAGAGGTTGTTTTGAAGCTGAGGGAAGAAAAACACAAAAAAGATGTTCTGCCCACAGTCTATGATTAACATGGGGATGATGTAAAGCCATGCAAAGGCCTGGCCCGCTGCGCTAGCTCCTGGGCAGATGAAAGGCACCGCTGTGTGGACTGTATGAAAGTGGGGAGGGGGACTAGCCCACACCTACGCTCCCGAAGACTGTGAGCAGCAGGGACCTTGTCAAAAGACCTCAACCTTGGCATTGACAGCTAAGTCACCCCCCTCCAGTGTATTTGAGGGGTGTGTTGAGATCAGTTTGAGAGGGCAGAGATTAAGTGCCATTCGGAAAGCCTACAAACATAATCACTCATCGTCTTCTTCCTGAGCTCAGGCACCCTGTTCCCTCACATCTGTAATGTATATGGAGGTCTAGGCAGTATAAAGCTACCAAGAGCTGGAGAGCAAGGCCATCCTCCGAAGCTTGGTGTCCAGGGATGTACCTGCCGCTCTATTTTAACACGTGTCCAGGGTTCCCACAAGCTCATGTTCAGAGCCAGCAGCTCACAAAGCCCTGTGGTCCCACCCTCACTGGAAACCACCTCTTTAGGGGAGGGCGGAGTGGAGTATTCAGGGATAATGGATGCATTTCTTCAGAAACAACACCCAACACCCAGCAATGGCTACCGCTGGGTGTTGGGAGGGGGTGTGGAAATGAACAGCACGGCCTCCCTGTGTGGGGAGCCTAGCCTCTAGCGTATTCAAGTCCATACATAAGTTGGTGAGTGGAAGCAAATTGTAAAAATGTACAAGGGAGACACAGGAAGTGTCTAGGAAAGAACGACTGTAGGTATAAGGACACATGACTCATGGGAAAAAATATAAACCTTTTTTTTTTCTAGTTTCAAATCCATCATAGTTTTTTTTTTTTTTTTTTAGAGACAGATATTTGAATTCAACATTGTCAGTTATGTTGTGTGAATATGCTATTGTTTTAATCTCTAATGTGGGATTTTAGTTGGGCTGCAGTCCGTCCACACTTGTTCATCGTCTCGTGCAGGGCGTGGCTCTTGCCAGCTGGTAACGGCCTTCCCCGGCCTTCCACGTGCGTGTGCGGCACGGGGAGGGGCGTGGCCTAGGACCCTGAGGCTATAAATAGAGAGCTGAGAAAGAGAACTATTGATGGGCGGTGTTGGCGTGTGGCCTGTAGCAGTTTGGAGAGACCAGAGACTGACAGTGTGGCCGTTTGGAGCAGACAGACAGCGACAAACACTTTGGGGCCCAGCAGCGTGGAAGAGACTGCTAGCTCTGTCTGCGGTTGACGGAGATCGGTATAGCCCTAAAAAACCCTCAACCCTAAACAGCTGGGAGAAGTAAAGGGGTCTGGGCCCCCTCTCCCCACCACCCTTCTCTCTCCTACTTAGGTGGGAGGATTGGAAGGAAGGTTGAGGCCTAAACACGCCAAATAGAGTTTAAAATGAGCGCTACATTTTCAGTATTGATATAGCAAGAACTATTTGTGTATCCCAAGAGAATCCAGTGCAAGCAACCCCTTCCAGGCAGTGAGTGTGAAAGCCAGGCTTGCTTCTGAATCCCATTAGCCATTAGTGCAACAGGAATCATGTATGACCGGTCAAGTCACTGGGTGCATGTGTCATGTCGACCATTTTTAAAAGTGATTTTTTTTTTTCAAATCTGTTCAAACCATATCAAATCATTCTACTATAGTGTTATTCAGTATGTTAATTATATTTTAAAGAAAGACTGTAAAAGTTGGGATATGAGGGGGTCCTTGCATGGCGTGGTATGTTAAGCCTTGTACTTTACTGAGGACTCTGAGGTGAGGTCTAGGCTGGGTCCTTACCATCTCTATGACCTTGAACAAATTACTTGACATGTCTTCAATTGCTCCTTTGTCAAACTGACTAATA